AACCAGGGACCCCAGAAAGACATGTTTTTTTGGCCGGAGCCTGGTGTTGTAGGGAAAAAAGAATTCAACCGAGCCCACGGCATAATTCGTCACCAGTGGCACTTTTTAATGGCAGTCTCTCTCGACTCTCTTAATACCAACATGGCGGAGAGGGATAAGCTTCTGAAACAAACTCAGGATGAATAATATAGCTGTCCCTCTCCGGCCCTCCAGACCTCTTAAAATGACTCGTGTCCCATCTGCAAGGAGAGAAAAAGAGAATTAGCAAAACTCACCAAGGCTGCACATCCAACTATCCACCATACCAAAGTCTTCCAACCTTCTTACTCCATCTAAGTGACCAACCCTCGCGGTTTCCCTACTAATGAGTGGGTGTGCTAGAATTTGGGGTCCAAACAGATGGGGGTGGCTAGCAAAACTAGATAGCATACTAAAAAGCAGAGGCATCACCCTGCCAAAAAAGTGCGTATAGTCCAGGCCATGGTTTTCCCAGTGGCAATGTATGGCTGTGAAAGTTGGCGCATAAGAAAGGCTGAGCGCCAAAGAATGGAGGCCTTTGAACTCTGGTGCTGGAGAAGACTCCTGCGAGTCCCCTGGACTGCAAGGCGATCCAACCGGTCAGTCCTAGAGGAGATCAACCCCAACTGCTCTTTAGAAGGCCAGATCCTGAAGCTGAAACTCAAGTACTTTGGCCACCTAATGAGAAGGAAGACTTCTCATTAGGTGGCCAAAGAGAAGAGAAGAGCCTAATGCTGGGAAAGATTGAAGGCAACAGAAGAAGGGGACGACAGAGAAGGAGATGGCTGGATGGAGTCACTGAAGCAGTAGGCGTGAGCTTAAAGGGACTCCAGAAGATGGTAGAGGACAGGAAGGCCTGGAGGAATGAATGTCCATGGGGTCGCGATGGGTCAGACACGACTTCGCAATTAACAACAACAACAGTTAGAGAAGGCTACCTCTAGTCTTACAAAATCCCCTTATTTCCTGTCTAGAAAGAAAGAAGGAGCAAGTCTGCAAAGGTTAATCATCAGGCCAATGAGGAAAAAGGTACCGTATATTCCGGCGTATAAGGCGACTGGGCGTATAAGACGACCCCCAACGTTTGAGAAGATTTTCAGGCTTTAGAAAGTCATCTTATATGCCAGAAAATACAGTACAATATTGGATTTCTGTTTATAGATGAGCACAATAGGAGCTCCTTTGCTGCTAGAAAGCTTTGTCCTGTCAGTGCTTATTTCTGTAAAAAAAAAAATAGGGCTGGCCACTAGGGGGCAGATTGGTTTTAAATTCAGAGAACAGCTACCCGTATATTCCTGTGTATAAGACGACCCCTGACTTTTGAGAAGATTTTCAGGCTCTAGAAAGTCGTCTTATACACCGGAAAATACGGGTACGTGATTTTTTCCAGCAGGAATATTTGGTTGGGGGAAAAGGAGAGTTTAATCTCTGAAGGTCCTGCCATTGGAGGTTTCACTCATCTATTCCTTCGCCTTTCTGTTTTCATTTTAAAGACAAGTTTCTAGTCCTCATGGCTTGCTGTGAAAGTGGGTGAGTGATCAAAAGCAGAAGTAGGCATCCACGAGTTTGAAAGTTGCCAAGGTTGGACACCCCTGCTCTAGATTACAGGTAGTCCCTGACTTACAACAGCTTGTTTAGTGACCATTCATGGTTACAACGGCACTGAAAAAGTGGCGTAGGGCCGTTTTTCACACGACCGTTGCAGCATTCACTTGATCAAAATTTGGACTCTTGGCAACTGGCATGTACTTATGACGGTTGCACTGTCCCGGGGTCGCGTGATCCCCTTTTGCGACCTTCCGACAAGCAAAATCAGTGGGGAAGCCAAATTCACTTAACAACCGTGTGACTAACTTAACAACTGCAGGGATTCACTTAACAGAGGCGGCGAGAAAGGTCATAAAATGGAGCAAAGCTCACTTAACAATTGTCTCGCTTAGCAACAGACATTTTGAGCTCCATTGCGGTCGTAAGCTGAGGACTACCTGTAAAAAGACATGATTTCTCCAGCAGAGAGATTTGGCTGCAGAAAAAGGGAGATTTAGTCTCTGAAGGTCGTGGCATTAGAGCAGTGGTTCTCAACCTTTTTAATGCCGCGACCCCCAACCGGTTGTAAGTCGAGGACTAAACCGGTCGTACGTCAAGGACTTTCCCTGCCCGGGAGTGCCGCGCATGCATCGTGCTGCCCCCTGCACCGGCCGAGGCGTAGCTGGCAAGCGGCAGAGACGGAGCAGGCCGACCACTGGCTGGGCCACCAGTTGGCCCAGCCCAAGGGAGGTAAGGCACCCGCCGGAAAAGGGGAAAAAAATGGCGGACAGCCTTGCTTGGCGACCCCCGTGAAATGGTCGATCGACCCCAAATGGGGTCGCGACCCATAGGTTGAGAACCGCTGCATTGGAGGTTTCCCCCATCCATTCCTTCACCTTTTTCTATTTTAATTTTAAGGACAAGTTTCTAGTACTCATGGTTTTACAGTGAGCGGTCAAGAGGCAATGGCAGGGCTGAGAAGAATTGGTGATTTTTTCCAGCAAAAATATTTGGTTGGGGAAAAGGAGAGTTTAATCTCTGAAGGTCCTAGCATTGGAAGTTTCACCCATCTATTCCTTCACTTTTCTATTTTAATTTTAAAGATAAGTTTCTCGTTGCTGTGAAAGTGGGTGAGTGGTCAAGAGCAAATAACAGAAAATGAGAAGAGTTGGCGTCCGCAAGTCTGAAAGTTGCACAGGTCGGACATCCCTGTTCTAGATTAATTGGCTGAATCAATTAGTTTAAATTGGGAGGCATATTGTCAACTTCCTGGTCCTGATTCCCACCCTTTAGGCAATTGCACAAAACCTGGCATGGCTTCCCAAAATAGCCATAAAACTATGCAGCAGCAGGAGAAGCAATCAAAATATCTTGGGGGGCTGGAAACTTAGAGCAGGCGTGTGATGTCGCAACTTTGCTGAAGCCAGTCAAATCTGGAAGATCCAGAAGTTATAAGGGAGTTTGAGGTGGGGGGCGGGGAAAACCCCAATATTTTGATTTTGGGTTTTACTGATTAGATTGATGTTGTTGTTATAGAAATGGCTAGTTTATGCTATTGTAGGAAGATAAACAATTGAGGTTCGATGCTGCAACAGAGAGAGTCGGAAATCAATGCCTTTTTTTTGTCTCCCCCCGTTTTCACACTTCGCTTTCCCCCTTCCCTTTGTTCCCTACTACTTGCTTTGTATTTTTGTATTTTATACTATAAGCTAATAAAAATAAATATGTAAAAAAAAGGAGCATATTTTGACAGGGCCTCCACCTTGCCCTGAAGCCTGTCTTGAGTTCCCACAGTTAGTCCTTGACTTGTGACCCAAATTGCCATTGCTAAGTAAGGCAATTATTAAGTGAGTCACACGCCCAATTTTACGACTTTCCTCCCCCTCGTGGTGGTTAAGCAGATCCCTGCCGTTGTTAAGTGAATCACAGAGTCATTAAGTAAATCTGGCTTCACCCCGTTGATTTAGTTCTCAGAAGCTGGCTGGGAAGTCGTGAATCGCAAGAGACGGGGCAGACATCATAAATACACGCCACTTGGCGAGGGTCCGAATTTTGATCACCTGATTATTGGGAAGATTGGTTTTAGCTTACTTTTATGCGTGCTATTGCAACTTCAAACCATCATTAAATGAATGGTGGTTAAGTTGAGGACCACCATCTTGTTCAACCCCTTGCTCACTTGGAGGAATCTATTCCATCATTCCCAATAGGTAGTCATGCAGTCTCACTGGGAAACCTCCAATAAGTGGAGACTGTTGAGTCCGTGGCGGGAAAACAGACACGAGAAGCAGCTGGAGTTCTCAGTTTCTTTTATTCAGCGTTCAGCTTACAGGAAGATGGCTTCAGCCTCGCCCAACGCCTCGCAGCCTCTTATATAGGCAACTCCCGGGTAAATGGGTTACTTTTCCCGCGCCAGCACCCGCGCATGCGCACGGCGCTGGCGACAGCCTGTCTGGTCCCGGGCAGCTTTGCACCTGCCCGGGACTGCCTGCAAACGCCCGAGCCGTTTGCAAAGGCTCGGGACATAACACCCCTTTCCCCCGGGCTAAAACTACTACCAACATACAACATTTATTTTATACGACAATTTGCTCCCCAGTGCTCCCACTGTTTACTGGCTTTTGCCTTGCCAGCAATGTTATGTAATCTTCTAGGTACTTAGGAGATTTCTTTGCTCTCTGTGACCTTCTTAGCTCTGGGTTACTGGCATAAGTCCCCTGACTGGAGGGAGGCGTGAGCCTGTTCTCTCTATTGTGCCCTGGTGTCTTCCAAGGACTGTGCCCCGATGCCTGGCCTGCTTGCTTGCCCACCGGGCTCGTCAGGCCAGGGCTTCTGTTACTTTGTGACCTGGTTGTCCTACCTAGCCGCAGACCCTCAGGCCCCTTAAAGTGATAGCCGCTGCTGGGCGTCTCTGTAGAACCTCCTAGGTCAGTCCAAGACCTGTCAGGAGGCTGTCCATTCCCTGAACCCCATTCTGTGTTCGGGCTCGTGTGGGTTTCTGTACTTTCCCAAAACTCAGGTGTTCCCTGATTTGTGCTAGGGGTGTTGTAGTCGGGACTCGGTTCCTCGACTAGCTCTGTGTATGTTTGACCCCCTGTAGGATTTGGGTTAAGGTCAGGCCAACCTTGGGAATTGTGTGCCAGCTCTCTTGCGGGGAATGATTTGTTGGGATGCCCCCGGGTATCCTCCGTTGCTGGAGTGCTGTGTGATGTGTGTGGAAAGTGAGTATGCCCCCGGGGTGACTCCCTGGCTGGAGTAGGCGTGAGTGCCTGTTGTGTGGGTAAGCTCCATGACTTCCTTTTCGGAGCAATTGCAGAATCCTGGGATGGGCCGTTTGTGGCTCCCTCAGTGGAGATGGGCAGTAGCTCTTGCCCTTCCCTTTGCTCCAAAGGGTCCCCCTCCCCCCCTGGAAAAGACCCAGGAGTCTCATCAGAAAAGTCCCGCCTAGAGCGGAGTTGTTCGATGTGCCGACGCAGGACACGACCGTTGTCCAGGGCAACCTCGTAGGAGAGAGGACCTGTGATCCTGGACACAGAAGCGGGGACCCATGTATGACCAGGCCCGTAATGCGAGCCCAAACCGGGGCACCCACAAGTAGTTGTCTAGGTGCCCTAGGAGGAGGTAGATGAAGGCAGTCTGTTGGATGCAACCGGTCAAGTCTCGTAGTAAGTTGGCGCCCCCAACGAAGTTCAGC